CGTGGTCAATAAGTTACTTTCAATAATAATAAAAAGTACATTTATTCTGTCAAAAGTAATGCTGTGGTTTCTTTCGAAATTTCTATATTTAATTGCTGGCCTTCTGCTGGTGGGATAAGGGCCTTCAACGGAAGGCCAGAGCAAAGCTGGCTGGATTATAGCAGCTTGCGTACCTCGCCATCACTGGAGCAATGTCAACTACACCTACGGGAGCCATGGAGACCATGCTGGACCTTACCCCCACTCCACATTTTGCTGTAAAAGGAGGCCAGGGTGGTTTCCTACAGACTTCTAAAGGTGGGTAATCAATGCTACGATAAGACAAGACGAGGCTGATAATTGAAATAAATAACCACCACATCCTCCACATGGCTTGAACTCGCTAGTTCCCCGACAGCACATAGAAAAGCCATACAGCGTCCTCGATCCAGAGAGAGACGCTTGGAGCAGAGAGGAAAAACCCTCTCCAAGGCAGACTAAGCATTATACACGGACGGCTACAAAACTGAAAAGGAAGTAAGAGAGGGAGTAATCGGCCAGAGGCGTAGAATTGATATATTAATAAACCTAGGCTCTCTGGCCACGATCTTCCAAGCAGAAATGATTGCTATAGAATTAAGAGCGAGAGAGTTGATTAATTTTGTCCCCGCAAACAAGAATATAAAAAAGTTTTCAGATAGCCAGGCAGCCCTCAAGGCTCTGAGCTCCGATCGAGTTGACTTAAAGTTGGCTCGGAACTGTATGAATGCCCTTGGATGTCCCGGTGACCTAGAATCCGAAACATAGTGGTGTGGAGGGCAATATAAAAGCCGACGCGCTTGCTAAAAGAGGAACCGAATCTGTCGGTCTAATGCTCGCTTAAAGTAATACAAACGTCATTTATTATAAATAAACAATAATTGAACATATTGTTGACTTTTATATATATATATATATATATATATTTTTAAGTGAAGATAATATCAGGTTAGCGGTCCTAAGAAATAAAACTCTTTTCCTTACTTGCTCAATATTTCGCCATTGTTTAATAGCTTCATCAGGAGCGAACTACATATATATATATATATATATATATATATATATATATATATATATATATATATATATATATATATATATATATATATGTATATATATATATATAAATCAAGTGTAAGCATGTTTATATATCCTATAAGGTTGTTGGCATATTCACCACTATTTAGAATTTACTAATAAAATCTATCAATCGTCTAAAACTCATAGGTTACAAAATTATGTATTATCATAGTAGATATAAAAAAGCAAAACTTCAGACATGCAGACAGTCTTTAGCTTTATATTTTATCATTACGAGTGTACAGGGTGATTCTTAACACGGTATCAGACCCAAGTCGATTTAAAATGCCTTGGTTGTGTCGATTACAACAAGCTTAACGTCTGAAGTGAAAAATTACGGAGTTACAGGACGTTAAAGATTATCTATATTTTAAATAATTATATACTTAACAAAACGACTTGCATGCCTTTGCATAATGAAAATATAAAAACAGGCAGGTTATTCGAAAATAACGAATATTTTATTACCCTATATTCATATCATATTGTTTTAAGAAGCTCTTGAAAAATTAAGAGAGAAACAGGTAAGCTGTAAACTATAAAAATATCAACAAATGTTTCGTGAAAATTAAATTACAATAATATGTCATCTCGACTTATGTTAAATATTTGAAACCAATAACAAGAAAATACTATTTCTTATATGAATGAGTACCAATAAGTAGATATGACATTTATACTTCATTGTGTGCATAACTATTACTCAATGGATTTTCTAGAAGAAAACTCGCAATGAAACAGTAGTTAAGAAATGGATAATTTCCCAGATTTTTCTGCTCATTGAGTACTTCATTCTGAGGCTCCATTAAATGTTTTTAATTTCTAGTTATTCCAAAAACTATGTGGCTATTTAAAATATTAATGTATGTATATTTATAATCTTTTTCAATAAAGAACTCACAAGCAATTTATTTTCTAATATTTGGCAATAATTTTATATATTGTTGATTTTTCCACCTTGCAAGTTCAACTGTAACCATCCTTCAAGGGATGCGACTTGAAACAAAATGTATTGGGGGCTTCACCTCATTGGTGGCGTGAATGGAGCTCATAATCTTATTTAAATATACAATACAAAGAGGCACTTATGACAATACTCAAGCCAAATAAACCTGTAATCCGATCATAAATTATTTCTTTACATCCTATAATCCATATAATCAACTTTTTGTACCGAAATAAAGTATAACCCTGTATATGGACTCATACTATTTTTTTGATGAACAACAATTATTTTCTATTTTTTGGCAACAATTTCAACATTTTGTTGATTTAACTTACATATTCAACCGCGTAAGTACGATGTTTTTCCCTTTGCAAATAGTACAAGGGGTATATTCTTAATCTAAAACAGTATGTCAAAATATTTAATATAAGATATTTCTCTTGAAAATATCTACTTATGTCAGTATATATTTATTGTTTAAAATTTATATATTTGGTACATATTAAGTTATATTTGGAAAACTAGTCATAGGATCTAATTTTACCAATAAAAATTTTGAACGAGTACATCGAGTACTATACGATATCAAATATTGAGAGACTTTGACAATGATATTTTTATTTTCGGTATTTTAGCTATTTTTGTTCGGTGGGAATACCTACTTTGACCAAAAAAGATTTGCCGAATCATTAATCACCCTGTAAGGTACAATATTTTAATTATAGTAGTTAAGTATGTATTTTGGCTACACAGAATGAGCAAAAAACTTCTAAAAATATTTAAGGGTGATTTATGGTGTCCATTTTAAAGAACTAGAGATTTCTAACTTCAACACCCTGTATCTCAAAATCTAGTCATAGGATACGATTAGGCCCTGGACACTTTTGATGGGGACATCAAGTTATTTAACATATCATAAATTCAGACATTTTGACGGTACTCCCGTTTGCATAAGAAAAGTGCGTGGTCCTTTGCATGTACTCACACCCCCTGCACCTGATGCTAATGCGTCCATATTCTCACTAACGGTACAAGCCACTTATTGATATATCCTAAAATAAACTCTTTCTGCTTCAATCCGTCTAGACTCGCATAATTCAAAGTTAGTTTCTAAAAACAGACACGTCGTAAATCTTGCTAGATTCCAACTTAATCCAACATTTACATAACCCCCTAAATTCCGTACACCGTACTGTAACATCCTCTCGTCTATAAACTTTTACCGTCTCCCTTGTCTGGGGATGCTGGAGAGCACGAGGTTCATTTCAAGAATTATAAAATTCAACCGTCCCGACGTATATCACACACGAAGAGGGTAGAAATTTCAATTTTGCTTCACTTAACCTCGATATGGAGGTTGCATAATAAAAAAACTGTAAATGTGGTGGAAGCGGCATTAAAAAAGTGAGAGAAACGCGGAATGAAGAAGCTGCTGAGAATGCAGCGCGAAGTAATGACATTTAACTAGTTAAATGCTGAGTTTAAAATATCTCATCAAAATACTTCGGCGTTTGTTTAATTTGTGGTTTTTATAAGGATTCAGTAATTAACAAATAGTTTTTTTACATTAAGTTCTGTTAAATATGTTTCGTTTTTAAATTCAAAACATCCTGCTCTCATGAATAGGGCTGTAAAATATGCACTAAAAATGGTCTAAATATGTATGCATTTATGCGTTAACAATAGACAAAATATGCTTTTAAATATGCAAAATAAAAAGACAGTCATTTTTGCTATTTTAGTTTTATTATAGACTTTTTAAACATATCGCACCCCTAGATGAAAACCCAACTAAATCGAAAAACCTAATTTTTCAGAAACGACGAAAAATTGTTTCTGAAATATTTAGAAAATATATCAAAAAACTAATAATACATTTTATAAAGGTAATTACTTCTAAAGCTTGGTAAGTTGCCTTATTTTTAAATCATTCCTTTAAAACCTGAAATAATCAAATATTTGTAGGTACTCTAGTTTTGCACCGGCAGTAAGTGATACTTTTTTGTACTAACTAGAGTTACTTTACTTTATCTGAATTATAAACGAGTTGCATTACTTTTCACTGCAAAAATAAGATAACATTTTTTGGGTATTTTGAGTTACGGATGATTTACAACGTCTTGCTTGATAAGTTTTGGATAGTTTTTAGATCTATGTAGGTATACTTTAATTAAAATGGTTAAAATAAAACAATTAATTTATTCAAATGGAAACTTATAATTTATTTACTGAAATAAAAAACAAATGAAAATTAAACATCAATTTATGAAGTTAGTTACATAAAAAATTAGTATGTCCTTATTAAAACAATTATTAATTACTAGGTATGGTAATGAAATTGAGATCGCATACGACCTATTTCTTTTATCATAATCACAGCAATAATTATTATACCTCTAGAAGGTAGCATATCAAATAAATTTATCTCCTACAAGTAAAATAAAAATTTGAGCATTCTCTCCTCTTTAAACTTAACATAACTACAGCCTCAGACCTATCTTTGGTAATATTCAATACAAGATAATAAAATTATAAATTCTAGCAGTCTATATTTTCCTTTTTGTGCTAATATCACTTACTATTAGCAGTTACAGTTCCAAGTTGCAAATCACAGTTCACTTATTAGAATTCTAATATTATTCAGTAACCTTATTTATATTTATAAATGCAAAAAAAAGTAGTCTCCTGATAAAATAAATTCAATAATGGCACTTACTTCTTGTACTAGACTTCCTACCTACTCTAAAAATTGTATTACTTAATCTAGATCAATGTTTTACAAAATATTTTTGTAAAAACTGTCCCAGTACGGGTTCGAAATCACATTTCTGTCGACAAGTTCTTTAATGTCTTTTTTTTGCATCCGACAAAGTATTTTTTTCTGCGTTTGCTCTTCTCAGATTTATTGTGATATTAGATATAAGTTCTACTTCAGTACGTCTAGTCTTTCTCTTATTCACCCAACATTTTTTGAATTCGGCTTCTGCAAAAGATGTTTTATAAAAAACACCATGGGACTATCCTTTTCAACTTTGAGCATTTTTATGTCATGCCACTTTACTTGCTTCTTGTCTTCATCCATATTAAAATTCGTACCCCAAGCTTCTTGTAAAGCTTTTAAGTCATAAAAGCGATCATGTGTCATTTCATGCACTTTGTATGCTGGTCCAGATTTTTTGGCAGATAGAATCAGTGTTATATACTGCAATGGCATGTAAATAGGACCAGATTTTATGTGCCTTTTCACTTGCTTTTCTATAACGCTATGCACGTTATCCCCTTCATTTTGCGAGTGGCCTCTTATCAAAAACTTATGGGTGATAGACTTCACTCTCATATTGCATACAGCATAGGCATAAGCAGACAATAAATACTTGTTTTTTTGCTGCCCGCAACAGTTGTCTGAATAAAATATCAAATCTATGTCTCCACTGGGACGATTGTTTAGATGCATTTCTATAAACGCTAAATCACAGCTTCCGATTTCTACGGCACCACGCTTCCCTTTAGTCTCATCCCAAAAAAAACAGTCCACATTCTTAGCGTGCAAATCACTAATAGTAAAATTAAAGCAGTTTATTCTAGACTTGTAAAAGAACAGGGAGACTTGTTCTTTAAGAATCTGCATTACTGCCTGGAGGTCGTAAACTACTACTATAGCATCAGATTCTTTCTTGTCCTTCTTCTTCTCACTTCGAGCTAGGTCTTTCTCAAGCAGAAGCTGTTCATAGTCTTGCTGTAATTTTAATTTTTTTTCTTCACTGGCATTTTTGTAGCTTTCACACAAATCGCACAAATATTTTTTGGGACTAAATAAGCCGATGTTGAATTGCACATTGAAAATGCGTTGAAATGTTGATTCGGAAGCAAATGGCCAGTTATTAGCTTGACGTAAGTACTTGTAATCTTGGTAAATATTTGCAAATGATCTTTCGCTTTGAATGTACTCCCGTGTAGTCTGAGCTCGGAGATAGTGCGATTCGACCCGTGGAATGGAGTTGATAAATTGAACAACGCTTTCTTCAACTGCAGGGTCTACTGTAGGATAATTTTTATGTTTTCCTCTTTGCTCTCCTTCTATAAACCGAGCCTCCGACTTTTTCATTAACGCTGTTTTAATTGCTTGATCACCCAAATCAAGGGTGGCCTTGAAAAAGTTCTTACAAACACGAATGCGCGAGTTATTCTCTTCAAAATAGAAAGCAGTATTTAGGCTCCGATAGTTTTTCGTGCTTGTATAACGATACTTGGGCTTTATTTCGTGGGTATGCCGCACAATGTACTCCCTTTGTCGCTGAAGATCTCCGAGACCCCAAAATGCATCAAAAAAATTTTGACGAGTTGTGGAGTTGAGTTTGATGCTACATTTTAAACAACATTTTTCTCCGCAAGGAGGTCGCATTTGGCTAGCAGGGATTTCTTTTTTAGTTTACCTCGTGACTTGAACGCCTTTCCCGATTTTTTGAGGATTTTGACTCTATTGGCCTTCCATGTTTTTGGTTTCCTTAGTTTCTTCTTACCCTGGACTACTTCTTCTTGCGCTAGAGTTTCGTTACTTGCAGCATTTTGAATTAGATTGGGATCCTCGGCGTTTAAGCTCGTAGTGTTGTTTTCATTGAGTGTTGAGGCAATATTTTTGTCATGATTCTGAAGCTCGCAAATAGAGAAAGTAGTGTTATCTTCAGTAATAGTGTTACTGCTTGAGCTGCTGCTGGAGCTGCTGCTTGATGAACTGTAACTGCTGCTTGAGGAACTGGAACTGCTGCTTGATGAACTGGAACTCCTAGACGAAGACGAAAGAGATCGAGACCGTTTCATTTTTGATGAAGAAGGTGAGTTACGTAAAGGAGAGAAAACTATTTTTCTTTTTGGAGTGGGGGTTTTGTAGTTTGGGTCTGCATCTTAATCGTCGAAGTCACATTCATCACCGCTGTGACTGGTGATATAGCATATTGACGTTTAGGAACTCTTCGTATTCGGTTAGCGGTAGTAGGCTGCTCATAAAGATTTAAGGAAGGTTCATTATTGCTCGGTGAAGAAACTATTCTCTCAGCTGGCAACTTAGGCTCATTAAGATTTATTGAAGATTCAATAATACTCGGTGACACAACTAAACTTCTCTCAGTTGGAAACTCAGACTCCTTTACTCTATTGGGCATTTTGATACTAAAGGATTCAAGTGTTATTGAAGCATCCAATATTGCACTGTCCAGGATTAGGTTTTTCTGCGTTGATCATTTCCAACATTAATTTTCCTCGGCCTATCGTTGTCCTAAAATAAAAATGTTGAAACAAATCAAGTAAAGTCAACCAACTCAAAAAATTAAATAATATCACATATAAATTTTCAAAATGTTATAACGAATTATAAATCTAATTAAAAATGTCATAAGCAACCTATTTTCTTTTAAAAAAAGTACCCATTTGTTTTAACAAACCAAAATATCTTAAGTTAAAATTTCATTCAACAAAATTCCAGTAAGTCGAAATTTCTGTTTACTGTCATGTAAAGCCGACTTACTCGAAATATCAAGAAAAATATTGCAGTGAAATATCTTCAAATCAAATCAAAATGAACTAGTATTGCCATCAACCAAATTTCAGCAAAACTCAATTAACTCAAAATAAAAATTGAAACTTACCTAACAATTTCACATAAACTCTCACAACTCAAAATCTGTTACTTTGCAAACGTCCTCCACCTACGTTCATCAGTTGGCAACTAAAAATGGCGTAAGTCATTCAACTATTCCCATGTTTCGCGACACATTTCGGCAACGGTTAAAGGTATAGTTACATGAGTCATATTTCCATGTAGGTATTTGAGTAAGGAGTTCGAAAACGCTACTAACTCAAAATGAATAATTTTGATTTAGTGTAGTTTTCATCTAGGGGTTCGATATGATTAGATGATTTTACATTTCTATCAATTACATCTAATCAATTATTATTATTAGAATGGAAACAGTTAATAAATATTTTTTAATGTTTTCAATAGTAAAACATTGCTTTTTATCACTTAAAATATGTTTGTACGCCGAAAATGAACGGTCCCCTTTACAAGACATTATAGGTGCATATTTAAATTTTGAACTTAAAAGTGGTGAAATATTTGAATCCAATTCATTAATAAAGTTGCCAGATAAAACATTATTTATGCCCTCTATGTCTGAAATCCTTTATTATTTAGGAAAACTGATGTAAATTTTCGTGTAACATTATTTTCCATTAACACAGACTGTTCAATAAAAGATTTTAAATTTTTAACTGTTTGTATGCTTTCAAATAATGCCATACCTCAAAATTCAAGCTTAGTTATGGCTGTGGGTATGCATGTATAATTTGCTTGAATGTGGATAATATGGCTATAAACTATAGGATCGTTAAAAATATCGATGCATTTTTTAATCGCAATTGAGTCTCCTGTGTCAAAGTCGCAGATTACATCTTTAATTTCGTTAAAATTTGTCGCAATAAAAGTAACACAGTTTAACCAAGTGCCCTATCGTGTTTGAACTGGTTCTGGTGGCAATGGAATTCCTGGAAAACGATCCTTATAAAATTGAACCTGAAGAGGAGCTTTTACTAAAACCTTTTTAATATTTTTAATAAAATCATTTACGAGTGGAAATTCATTCCTAACCGTCTCAGCCACCCTATTTAAACCATGTGCTAAGCATGTGCAATGGATTAAATTCGGATAAAATATTTTTAAGTTTCCAGCTGCTTTTATCATGTATGCAGCAGCACTTGTCTAGGTAAATTAAAATTTGTTAACGAATCGTTAATAAATCTGGTTATCGTTAAAGTATTTGTTTTGTCTAAAATTTTAACTGAAATTAAATATCCCATACTAGGGATATTTTCATCTAGTGCGTCTATTATAAAATTTGCAATATAGCGCACCTGCGTATCAGCTGATTCATCAACCGAAAACCACACAGATTTATCGTTAATTTCAATTCTTATCAATCAATCAATCTTATCATCTTCAATGCGTTATCAAAATTAACTTGAACATATTTTTTTGCGAAAAACGGAAGAACTGGGTAAATTTTATTTCTTAAAATAAGTTTTAAAAAAATTTCTAAACAGAGGATTATCCAATTTGTGAATTGGAATATTACAAGATACAAATAAATTGCCCAACTATCTATTAAAATTGTCCTGATGATAAGAAGTGGTTCTTTGGTCTGTTATTAACTGTTAAATCAATCGGTTTGCAAGTTGTTTTCTAGATAAGTGACTTGTCGTTCCTAAATGTTGATCCACTTGAAATTTTTTAGTACAGACAATCTGCAAAAAGAGATCTAACGCCATCTTCAAATATAAAAGAATTTTTTTTTAAAATCCAAAAATACATGAATTTAAATATATAAAAATAAAAACTAGATGATTTTTAAAAAATCTGGCTGATAGAAAGAAGCTTTTGGGTAAAAATAAAAAAAAACATTTCCTTATTTAAAAAAAAAATTATTATATTGATTTTTTAAAAATTAGATCAAATCCGAATAAACAATTTACTATAGCTCTTATATCATATCTTGATTTTATTTCTTTTTACTTCTAAAATAGGATTCAGCTGGCTTTGAAAAAAGTTAATAGTGTGAAAAATACAACAAAAATGTTAGTTATCCTTACCAGTTTATCGCAGGTGGAGCAAAAAACGTGATTAGAAACGCTTTTACTTTCACACTAACGGCACTTTTGCAGAAACGTAACCAAAATTCTAAATCATACTGAATAGTATGAGAGCCCACTGCAAATTTCGACCGTCATCTGATAACGAAATAAAATATGCTCCAAAGGCATGTAACAACATTGTACTTTACCAAATTGCACCTATACTAATCCCTATCCTGAGCAAAGTGGTTAAAAAAAATTATTTTATATTCAAAAAATCACATAAAACATGACAGCGACAATTATGTTTTCCCTGAAAATTACAATCCAAATTCATTGTGAACCTAGCTTTTAAACCTGAATTATTAATATTTTTACCTACCTTTTAAACCATGTTTATGTATGAAAGGAAGAAGGATGGCATTGTATAAACCATTTGCAGAGATAGTCAATAATAATTATAAAGTCTTGTTAGACAATTATTTTAAACCATATTCATAGTAGTTTTTTTGTCGTTTCTATGGCAGCCTGTAAAAATGAATCACAACAATAGGCATACAAATAAATTTTTTAATCAGCAATCATTGACTCATATTTTTAATAATATTTTTCTACTAATCGTGGATACATGTTTTTGTGCGATGTTAAGAGGAAGAAAATGTTTCCCTTTAACGATATATATCAAGATATATTTAAATGTTATTTTCTGGAAAACTTTAAGGGCAAACAAAATTAGCGCTGTCATGCCTTATGTGATTTTTTTAATATAAAATAATTTTTTTAAGCCACTTTGTTTAGGATTTGGATTGGCACAGGTGCCATTTGGTAAAGTACAATGCTTTTTCCATGCTTTTGGGGTATATTTCATTTCGTTATCAGATGACGGTAAAAATTTGCAGTGGGCTCTTGGGCTAGAATGAACTACCTGTTACACCACAAAAACAGATAAATTTTATAAAGCCATTTGCTATCAATCATCCCTTAATTGCCCTAATCCTTAATATCTAGTAGTTTGGAGAGGAAAATACCCACTTGGTTAATATTTCGTGGTAAAATGGAGGTACAATTGAAAAATATTGTAATGTTTACAAAATAATGATAAATAAGCAATATTTTATTTTTAGATATACATTATTATATAAGATATGCATTATTATTTTAGAAATGAAATATAAAATTCTGCACTAAATATGCAGGCATGCACTTTATATGCATTTTGCATATAATCCAAGCTCTAGTTATGAGTGTAGTACGATTTTATTGTGCAAAAAGCCCAAGTAGCAAAATAAATTTATAAAGGTTGTTAGAACTGCGCAGTGTCGCCGTTAAAGTTTGTATTATATAGGATTTTTTTTATTTACACAAATTTACAGTTATTATTAAAATACATCAAATAATTCTCAAAGCCATAGTCACAACAATATATGTGCAGCCGTTTCTCTTTTGATAACAACTACTCCTTTGGCTAATACCTCACCAGGTATTGAATTAGGTCGAAAGAAAATAGCAGAAATAGAAAATATTTGATGTATTTTACATCTCAGTCACATTTAAGTTTGAAATTATTTCCTTTTTAATTATTTTTAAGTTTGGTAGTTGTCGCCCAACCAACATCAGTTAAATGTTTTTTCACAAGTTTGGTCACATAAACAAAGATTGCCAAAAATATAAAGATTGGTTGCAAAAGAAACAAAATAAACAACATATAAACAGAACATGTCCTTGAAGAAGAAGAATGCTGTTCCACTATAACTATAACATTAGTGAAGAAGGGATCATAGAATAGACTCGCTTTATGGAATATTTGTAATAATTATAAGTATTATTTTCTTTGGCTAGAACAAACCAAGTAATTACAAAACGTTTTGTTTGCACCAAATATAATATGGATAGAAAT